TTTCTTTCCTTTAAAAAAAAGAGGACGACAATACACGTCATAAACTGAACATTAGATAAAATTAAGAGTGAAAAACTAAGAGCGACCAAAAATAATGAGAGGAACAAGGAATTACTGAAATAAATCAATAAACATCGAATTAACATCATGTCAGTATTCATGAATACGCTCACACTGGATTCGAAATCATTCACTGAATTGTTGAAAGAATTGTACAGTTCCCAACCAGAAGATCGCATGTCCTACTTCTTCAAGAGGTTATTGGTCAGAGGCTAAACGAGCGTCCAAAACTAGGACAAAACTGCTGGGCAGTACACACCCTGACTAATGTTAGCTTCAGATAAAGTCTATCCTGAATTCAATGACTGCGTTAATTTGATTTTGATATTGCATACAATGTCTCGAACAGTAGAAAAACATGTCTTCAACGGGCAGTTAGCCAATTTTTATTCTATTTCTTGTGTGTTATTTGAGGGATAAGCATATCTAATCTATGTTTGGTCTTTAGTATTTAAATAAGATACATTAGTCAATGTCATAGATAATAAGAATGACCTGATTACAAAGATTGAACTTATTTCAAAAGGAATCCGGACACGAATCAATAAAGATGTGTTAAAACCCTCGGAACACAATAAAGAAATTGTCTTAGTTTAAGGCTTCAGAATTCATGGGTATATATATATATATATACATATAAATAATGAATAACTGTCGATAAATTAGCCAATGATAACACTTGAACAATTGAATTGTGTTGATCACTTAAGCCAAACGTAGAAGTATTAGAGAGTAGTGGTACTTATAATTTATGGACATAAACGAAACAATCAAGTTAATGTGTGATAAACAAAGCTAAAAGAGCCCGGTGATTTTGTTTTCTTTAATTTAGATTTTCTCATTCGATTAGTGAATAACTATCTTTAATACAACACGCTATCCTGTCCTGAATTATACGAGATTCTATACTTATATAATGTTGTATAACAGTGTGATTTCAACAAATAATTTTACTCTGTGATGGCAGATATTCTATATGTAATATTTCAAAAGTAATCAAGCATAACGACCATTCTTCTCACAAGTTCATTCTATGCTACTGAAATCACACAGTACAATTCTAGCTTTATTTACGTGTGCATAATACGATTATTGTTATTATTCATTCACTACATCCTAAGTGGATCACAGCGTTTTGGCGTTACATCTCCATCGTATACCGTCATTTCCAGGAGGCTATGTAACTACACACAAGTCACTATTTCTTCTTAACATGATCATCTCCACGTCACCCTCGGACACCCAGCCCATCACTGTCTTGTCACTACTGTGGCTTCAAATCTCATATGCATATGACACAGGTGTATATGCATGGCTGCTAGATTCTGAGCAAGTATCGTAAGTGTAAAATATAATTGTCTCAACAGCTGGTGTTCCTAAGTTATATTCTTTCCACCTAACTTCACTCCTTGCGCATGTACTATTGACAAGTTGGAGACTAGATTTTCCATCGACTTCACTTTGTTAGCTAATCAATGAAGACTAAGTTATCTTAGTAGCAGCATCATATAAAATAGGATAAAAATCCCTTAAGGTAATGAATGCTTAAACCTAACAGACCATACTCTGTGAACTATTAGAAACTGAAAATTTAGCATAGAATATTGAAAAGGACAGTGACACATCCTCTTTTCATCATAATCTAATCACACACAGTAGTAATAATCATCATAATTGCTGTTACTACTAACAGTATTGTAATTAACTTTCCAGAAGTTACATCTGAAATCTTTGTTTTTGCTCAACCCTAATATAACGGATGAATCATTATGCGTCTATAAAATTCTTTCCACTTCAATTAATATGCCAATGGAAACATGATTTTTGGATTAATTCTCTTTAATTTAAGTAATGCCCAGTGTGTATACACAACAGACGTGTATAGCTTATCAAAACATAAAAAAATAATCTATCTGAAAAAGGGGAGAATTCCGAAAGAAAAAGAAAAGACAAGACAACGTGAAATGACAAATCTTTCAGAATAATTAGCACGAACATGTGTCTTTTTGTTTCTATAAACAAACACACGCATACACATGTGTATAGTACTAGTAAATAGAAATAGGCACACGCTGCTGGTATTCATTTGGAAAGGAACATTTATGCTAAAATACACACCAATCAATTCCTGCCGATGGTACTAGACTTTAGATTAGGCTGAAATGAAGGCAAGCGTCATTCATCAACTGTTAGTTGTTTTCTCCTTGTCATTCTTTTTTCCTGAAGGTCTGTAAAATAACAAATAACTGGATATACTACTGATAAATATGAGTAGTTCGAAACCACCCACTCCAAACAGTATAGTCTACTAGCCGGAGTAAATTTACTCAAACATAGGACAGTCACTTGGCTGGTTTGTGCTCGGGCACATCAATGATATACTTACTCGGAATGACCCATCTCAGACAATCGAATTACTTTATAACTAACCCGAAATAAGCCTAGCCATCACATAGGATCAAATCACCATCTGCAAATAACGGGTCGGACTTTCCTACCTAATAGAGTTCTTCCTGTTAGACCTGATTGATGTCGCATACATTCATTATTCAAGAATTTCGTGGTAATATCTAGTTGTGTATTTTAGGGGCTTTAAAACCAAATTTCAATCCAGTTGAGAAAATAAAACTGAACCAGTTGCTTCAACGGGTTTGAAGTCAACCCAAATGCATATGTACTAAGCTGAGTAAAATAGCTAAATAACCTCAATGACTACTTCACCTTTCCTATGAAAATGTTAGGATATCATGGGTTGCATCACATCTTAGTATTTATATGTGCCTTCCATTTTTTCTAAATATTTCTGAAATCAGTCATCTTATAGAATAAAACCACAGATACCAGCATAGGTATACAGAGAATTACTAATACCTCATTAATACTGACGATCATATTAGATTCTGTCATTATTATTATTACCAATATTATAAGGTCATAAGTGACGAAAACTAGAGTCCCGTTAAGTCTTGCAATGAGGAAGAGAAAGTGGAGGATCTGATGATAGCATAGACTTAGCAAACTAAACAGAATAAAGCAGTGCAGTGACTCAGAATCTTCTTTCTTATTCAACTTCCCCCCAACTATTATCACCGTCGAATTACTTAAATTTGAGAAATTATACGTTATGTTATAAGAGGAAAAATCAATCGTCTCCCAGATGGACCTATTCAAAAGTAAACAAAAACTAGATCCCCACTCTGTCAAATGCGTTTAGTGTCCAAAAATTGTTCCAGTGAAAATGAAATAAATTTTTGTGACGAAAATAATTCAGCACATGACTGGTCAACTAGCGTGAGCAGCTGACTTTCAGCCAGTCAGCCCCCACGGACTTCAATCCTACCCCATCTACGACGGCCTGGATGGTATCGTAAGTTTTCCTACTGTAAGTGTGGTTCTTATCCTGGCACATGAAACATACGATCCGGATAAATCATTCCTAACAACGACAGTGACAACTAATTGTAACGCGTGTGTAGGGGTGGATGTCTAAGGCTTGAGAAAGGTGTTTTAGTGCATTTTACAATTTACCTCTCAATAAACTCCAGTGGTGCTTTCGACACCACCTCCACCGAGATCGCTGATTAAGAATATATACACACTATGTTGGCGCAATGTGACTTTTCTCTTTATACGTTTAGGGCATGACAAACAAATGAGGTATAAGCCGACTAAGGGTTATTTCCTTCTAGCCCAGTTTTTAATTATTTCTCTAAACACTCATATCATCTCATCAAAATTTTAATGGAAAATTGTTTTGATATATACACATATGTATTAATTAATTTTTCTCTTGGATAGTATTGAAACTTGTTACTGATGAGCTAATGAGTTAAACAAAAAAACGAAATCTTGACAGACGAACAAAAATGAATAGTTCACATAATTAAACTTTATTCTGGAGTTAGTCAATCCCACTGATGAGTACTCATGAGGCCGAGGAAACCTCAGTTAATTAATCCACATATATACACATGTGTATATATTATACAGGGTATGTAATGCAAATAATATTTCCTCTAATCGGGGCGTCTAAGGGGAAGATTTAAATTCCTATGCATAAGTTTAGAATATACAGCTACTTTTATGACTGGATTTCGTCTCACGCACCTTTAGACATTGTTCATTTCTTCAAGAGTAGTGGGGTTTGCATAAAGTGGTACTTATCCTAGATAGTAATTATTTTCTTTAACTTTTTATTTCCTATTCACCTGTTGATATTTATACAAATTGATGTTAGTCAAGCCTCACGGCCAAGCCATAAGACACATGTCTGTTGAATAGATTAAGGTGAGGGATTATTTGTCGTAGAGTCAAATAAAGGTGTCACAGTGGTTAGGACTCTCGCCGACCATGCACATGGCCCGGGGTTCGAGCCCACGCCGGCGCACACCTGATATCTATGGTTGACCTGCAAAATTTGGGCTACCGATATCCATGCTGAAAATTCCATACTTGTACCAAAAATACAGTGTGGAATCAAGCTGTAAATCAAAAAAAAAAAATCAAAAAATCAACACCATGACAACGCACCTTTTATTTTGGAAATACATGTCCATCTACTGCAACTGTAAAAGTTCAGTCCTATTTTACTACTGGGGTTTTTACCTAAGAGAAGAATGTAATCCTAATCAATCAACAGCGTTATTGAAGAGTTTTCTAGTTGGTAGTGAAAGCCAGTTTCACTCAGAAAAGGGTTTAGGAAACAATCAACTCTTTCAGAAAATTAACATAGTTTCAGATATCTCTGAAATATTTTAGAAGTCTATGATCCTGTAGTTCCAGCCTTTGTTTCCAAAATATTCAAATAATATTACTAACTGTGATTAGTTGTCATTCGTGAAATATAATACTACTGAATAATAAAGTAATACTAAAAGTATGAGGAATAAAAATCCAACATGTGTTTGTATATAAATATAACAATGGAAATAGTTTCTTACCAAATTGTACTTGACTTTCGATTGATAAATGCTTTTGTACTGGTTCGTTGTCTTCTGCTTTGAGTTCGTGATGTTGACTTATATATTTAGTTTCATCGATCCAAACAATTGATAACTTATTAACATATTCACAATAATTTACAAAGATTAAGGCACAATTTAAGAAGTTATGTAAATTTGATGTGTATTTCTGAGAAATGTTCCCAGAGGAATGAATGAAACTGTATTTCTTATATTACGATCTGTTGGTGTTTTGTGTTTGGTCAACACTGTTCACTCAATAAAATTGGTCTTCAAGTATTTTTGCTCAGATGACGGATAAGGCGTGCTTCCCGAGACTCATCCACACTTTAAATGAAACCTAATGCTTGTTATCAATTTAGACCGGTTTTCGAAATTTGAATGAATAAAGTCTAACCAATCAAATTCGCTCGGCAAAGCCATCCACGCAAATAAATCTGAAGGTTATTGAATTATTGGCTAATTTGAAATTTGAATTCAAAATAATGGGTCAACATGAATATGATTGGCTGATTTTATCAAGTCTCTAAAAGAGTTTGTTTACCTTAGAACACCAGAAATTCGGGCTGAAATTATGCATAACTTTCAAGGTCATTGGTGGAGTGAGACACCCATAGGTCATTTTCGTCCATGTTGGATTGCAGTTCCGTAGCCATTCGTCTACGCATTGGTTTTTCCCTTTATCCTGCAGTTATTCACGACTTATCTTCATGCGTATTGTTCACAATTGTTGCATTTCACTTCATTTTTTGTTTCCCTTGCTGTTAAAATTGATTATTCTTTTGGTTTCGAAAGTTTTCAGTACCAGGTCTGTGCATTCCTTTCATTGTAATTGTTTCATACCTTGCATTCATGCAGCTTTCAGTGTTTTAGTTGTTTTTCAGCTATTAATGAATTAGTACTGTGTAGAAGTTCTGGAAATTATGCACATGAAGATATTTGGCTGGCAAAAGCAGTTGTTTCCAGTCCATTTGTTGGTTGCAGTTTTTGTCGCTGGGTCATTTGGTTATTTTATATGTAAACTAATGTCTTTCACGTTCATGTCCACAGCGTGCAACATTCTATCAGTAAATATGGTGAGGAGGGCATGATCAAAGTTGATATTAGCAAGGTTTTCAAAGATCATAATCCTGGAGAATTTAGAACCTGGGTTGAAGTTGAAAAAGCCTTGAAGCTTTGTGAGAATGTGAATATACCATCAATGTGTCTGCTATCATTTAAAAAAAAAATATATTGTGAGAGAATCTAAGTCAAACAAGGTTGAGCTGCATGAAAAGTATGAATCTGTTGTGCTTGTGTGTATTTTGGGGAATTAAAAGAAACTGGAACCCTTAAGGGTAATTGTTACTTATGCTTATTATTGCTTAATGTACTAGATCCAAATACATGAACTAGGACTGCCCATAATAGAGCCAGTGTTAACATCCATTCGATGTGTTGCAAAACGGTTCGCAAAGCGGATAAAATACGATGATCTGGTGAGTGTACGAACTATCTCAGTTAAAGGTAAGACATTAATTAGGAAGAATAACGTTTCGGGTTGTAATCTACGATCGGTGATTTCCTCGAAGTTGTGATTTTTCTGTGACTATAAACACGGATGTCCATGATCTTTAAAAAAAAATCAATAAATTTTCCTTGAACCAGTAGTCTTCTTTTCTTTGGCGAAACATCCTTTGGTACGATTAGGTAGCGAAGTAGGATGTTCTGTGATTGAGAATCGTGGTTGTTGTGTTTCGGAATAATTTCGCGCATCTGACTGTTATAACCACATGTATATAGCGTTTTTTTCATGCTACATTATGATATCTAAAAATCATATGCACGCTGCCATCGGTAAATTTATTTTTACTTTTTAAATGACTGCAAATAGTGAGTCGTTTGAGGTGATAGGATGAATACCTCTGAACGCTTTTGTGGAGACTAGGGTATATTTAATTTTTTGGAGTAGGAGACGATCTTTTTACCAAGAAAGTTCTCAGAATTTCCGCTCTTACTTCGTTATTCAAAGATAACGTTAAGTTGCCCACTAAGGTAGTAGCTATAGGAGATTACCTTCGGCTGAAACTATATTAAGGTAGCTTTAGATAATGCGTCATAGAAGTAAGCAGCGTAGGTTAATTGTGTCTAAATGTATTAAATGTTGTGTAACTTACATGCGAGTTAGTTTTATAAATAATGAATGTACCGTACCTTGATTTGTATACCTAGCTCTTAAACATTATGCCTGCATGCGGCATGCATTTAGTGGCAATACGCTGTGATGAATTAGTCCGAGATACTTAAAGTCAGACTTGATTTCTATATCACTATTATCAATTTTGCAACGGTCATACGAATTAACACCGTCACCTAACTTTGTTTTACATCGGAAACTGAAAATAACAGTCTGACATTTCGAAGGATTTAGTTTAAGAGCATTTTCTGACTCCTAATAGAGAGCTGTTCATCTTAGTACAGTGTAGCTGGCAGTTAACAGACATTGAAATAGTTAGATCGTCCGCGTACTTGAAAAAGTTCCTTTTGTATGCATTCGTACATTAAGTTCGTCAAACAAAAATACAATTGGTAATGGGCGACTTCCTCCTGACCTACAGTGTACTGCTTTCTCCCTGATAAATAAGAATGAAGCCATCTCACACTCAATTTGAGTTTCAGCAAGCTTATCTAACGAAATATCTTTAAGTACTAAGTCGAAAGCGGATGTGTAATCTAGGAAGGTGCAGCGAATTTAGCCTCATTGTCTATACTGGAGAAAATGTTGTGATGCAAGACTGCAGCTGCATCTAAAGTACTTCTACTGTGTTTATAGGAGAATTGTTTGGGATCGTTAAAGGCTTTAAGTGAAGGTTGAAGATTAAGTAAGAGTAACTTTTCCTTAGTTCGTATATACGTCATTTGCATTGAAACCAAGGAAGCAACTATTATTAACACTTGTGACACCAGAAACCTTGGCATTTGTGGGAGAATTTATGAAAGACTTGTTTAGTGTACACACATCAAATGAATAGGGAATACTGGAGGTAATTAGATGCATAAGGGCGTAAGTTATTTAATATCCATAAAGTAGATATGCAAATACCGCAGTTGTTGATCATAGAAATGATGGATATTAGATAACATCCTATGATTCAACGGCATATTAGAAATAAATAAAAATTGTTTCTTAGCTCATTGTCAAGTGAACAGTCTATTTGATGATGTCACTGCATATTAACAGATTAGTGAAGTAGCTATCAAGCCTAAGTTACTACATTTACTTGTACTACATACTTGGCGTTTAACAGTATACAGACTTGCAACTGGCTAGATAAGGCGACTTTAGAGTATCGAACAGTACAGAATTATTATTCAACTTGCTAAATCCCACTTAGCTTTTACAATGTGCTATTGTGTAGAAACAGACACGAAATCCTATTAATGACTAAAGTAACATTCTCATAATACTACAGTAAATCTCCATCCCACTAACTAAGCTTAGCGTTTATTATTCCTAATTCACTTATTACAAAAGCACATAGTATAGCAACCAATTGAAAAAGTCCAGAGGAATTACAAATCAAGAGTATATTAAACATTTGATTAATTTACAAAAGAAAATTCTGATGAAGGGTATTAACGTTAGTTTGACCGAATGATGTTTCCGCTGATTTCATATTCGACAACCTCCGTATACCTGAAAAAATAAAGTACATGTATGAACTAGCATAACATGAAGTTACAAGAGATAATTCTACATATTAGCATATACTATGAATACAATGATTCTGTCGATACTAAGTAATATCTCATGCGGATAAATGTATTTGTAGTCTACAGCTGATTTTTATGTTGACGCCGTATACATAAATAGACATCATATGTTTTTCAGTATTTGAGGATTATACGCAAATTTCAAGACAATCTCCGAAACATCCATACTATTGAGGCGTCATTCTCTCATCAAGCTTACTTGCAGATCAACTTCACACTAAACACTTTTACATGAAATGAAGTATTGCAAATGTATAACTTAGAAATTAATCCACAATCTCAGTAATGTCTAGTCCACAAGGTTTTGTGAATCCTACAGAAATCACATTTTCACATTTAGGAGACTATAGGCATCAAATATAAGCTGAACATGCCTCAACTCTAAACAGCTATGCACAGTGTTAACAACATAGAGAAACACTTAAACTATTGTAAAGTACACAGACCTGTTGTGTTGATGAGGATAATAATGTCATATAATGCAAACTAGAAAATTCAATCGTCATACCGCATCTGTACTGCTTTGTCTAAATGGAAATCTCAGGAGAAATTCATCTCCACTATTGGTGATCAAAAATATTGCAGCATTAAGTATACAGTCAGTGGAAATTGTAAAACAAACAATAGATTCGTAATAATGATAATAAAGCTGAATAGATTCAGTTCTCATAATCACCACGATTCATGCGTATAATCATACCGTGTAATGAATTAATGCATTAATTGGAACAGCAAGGAAATTTAAACGAGTAATTGCCTTCTCCACTGCACTGTACTTGCAATAATCGTGACAACCACCCACGTTTGTTATCCTATCAGTCAGCTAAGTAGACAATGGTACGATATTAATACAGTTGAGATATTTTGATACATTGAATTCACATAACGCATAGTACACTGCACCAATCAGTGCCAATATATATGAAATCCACTTCGAGATAACCTTTCAACTTACCATAATTCCTGTCCAACCACAGATAGAGTGAAAAGCACATCTAAATGACAACTTTGGTAATCACAGACGATTCCGATAGCATTTACAGGTGATTTCCAAGTACTGAGAGAATTATTTTGTCAAAAAGACTATTCTTCACACGAAAATAGGCTGTATTGATATCCTGAGACATGAAGTCATCATTGAATGAGACTATGCCAAAAGATGCAGCTTCGACATGGAGTAAACGATGTGTGTAAATGGCATTACCCTTCAACTATCCTATCTTCCTCATTACACCGATATTTTGATACAGTCCGCCTGACACACTAATCGTTGCAACCAATATGCTATGAGTGTGTCGCAGTCAGATCACATGACGCGGACACCAACATAACTAACCAGAAAATGGGAATTCCCATCAACCCAGATAACATATAACACGGTTTTATTAAAAAGTTTTGACAAAAGCAAATTTCCAAGAGAAATTTTAACAGAACGTGATAGATAAATCCAGCCGAAATTCGGTGAAAAATATTTCCGATTTGTAACTTTTCAATAATTTTAGGTAGTAGTAGTGGTAGGTGAAGGACGAAACAATCTGTGTCATTAAATAGGAATTTGGCTCGACAAATGTAGCCAAATAGATGTAGCACTAAAAACAAAACAAAATATGTATTTGTGTACTTTTCAATATGTGCTGGAAATGAAACACAACCTAATAGTCACGTACGTAGTGTATTTTTGCATAAAAAAGACGCAAGTACGTTAATTGGGGCATATAGGGACTTAGGGGTATTCACATGAATGCAATTTAACAAAAGAAGTAATTAGTTTATTCTACAAGCACGCCAATTCTATGTGTACATGATAAAAAAACGGTCAATAAACAGTGGGTTGTCAAAGTTATGAATCAGCCATGGGAAGCATATTCTTATATATATATATATATATATGTATTTTATATTTTATATATTTATATTTGATTACAGCTTGATTCCACACTGTATTTTTGGTACAAGTATGGAATTTTCAGCATGGATATCGGTAGCCCAAATTTTGCAGGCCGACCATAGATATCAGGTGTGCGTCGGCAGGGGTTCGAACCTCGGACCATGTGCATGGTCGGCGAGAGTCCTAATCACTGTGCCACCGACGCACAGCTTATTTCAAGTTTAGAAAATTTGTAACCTTGCTACTGACTTTGTTTCTCTAAGTGGAAACATATACATATATATTTAAATGTTTTTAATTCATGCCTCACTTCATAAAATTTAAGGAAAAAGTGTTTTTCCATTCATCAGGAAGAAGTTAGTTAATTTTGACTTGAAGTGATATAACCTTGATGCTTTGTACTAATTTTCAGACTGTTTATTCAAATCCTCATCGGTGTTTTAACGAGGATTAACTGGTCCCTCATTTTGTTCGCATCATAGGTGTGAATATTATTCGAAATTACGCTAGAGACTGCTTAAAAGACAACAAATAAAGTTTCTGAAGAGTGAAGGATGCCGACTTTAAAAAAAACAACAACTGTGAATTGAAATTTTTTGTCAGAAATGAACATCAGGAACTCATTACAAGTTATGTAACAGTTAATTGTGTCTAAAGGATAAAGGTGTGGTGTCCTACCGCTCACTCATAAACTTGTCAGCTGAGATCACAGTTGCTGTAGACTAGCGCACTTGTCACAAAACCTGGTTGGAAAGGTAATTTTTCTAAAGGTTCTTAAATGATCAGATCTCGTTAAAATATCTAACTTCAAGTCAGTAGAATCCTCGTATAATATATTTCAGTTCAGATGATCAGTAACTAAATATTTCGCGGTTAATAATAAAAAAATTATGGGATGCTTAAGAATTACAGGTGTATAATTAGAGACAGCCTGAAGACATTATTGATCATGTTGAAATGTATTTATGATTATTAACACAAAAAACCAATAACCAGGTAATTAAATGCTCTGATTACAATGTCTGACAAATTGATAGAAGAATAGAGTTTAAGCACTGGGGTTTGAGTAGAATCCCACCATGGAATAATACAGTTTGAGAAAAATACCCTTGATATAGTATTGTTTACTGATGACGTTCCCAGTACAGAGCTACAGTTCTAAAAAGCAACGTAGTTAGGCAAAGAGGAATGTTCACCGAGTCAACACTGACCACTTGTAACATGAGTGAGTCAGCACTGATACCGTAGATATGGATAATATTATTTATAATATAGTCAAAGGATAAAAAAATAACATAACTAAATCAACAAAATCTGGAATTTATATGAGAACCTAGAGGTAAAACCTCGCCTAGTAAACTAGCTTGGTAGTTTACTAGCCAGTCCCAAGCCCGGGGTCAAGAGGAAGGGGTGGGCGTCGGGCTAGGAACCCCTACACTAATAAAACTATCAAACCACTAGGGAAATTTCAATTCACAGAAATTATATAAAATTATATTGGAAAAATTCAAATAACAAATTTATTCTTCACTCGAATCGGAGGAATGAAATGATACAGCGGTCTGGTGAAAGCCTTTGGGCAGCCAGCCGATGTGTCTTCTGTCGATGAAAGCTAGAACAAGAATGGGGACGTGGAATGTCCATAAAATGTACAAAGGCTGAGCTGACTGCCCAGGTAGATTGTGTTGTTGAAACCCTATATTCTACTCGGAACCCAAGAGAACAATAATTTTTTGATTACAGCTTGATTACACACTGTATTTCTGGTACAAGTATGGAATTTTCAGCATGTGATATCAGTAGCCCAAATTTTGCAGGCCGACCATTGATATCAGGTGTTCGTCAGCAGGCGATCGAACCTCATACCATGTTCATGGTAGGCGAGAGTCCTAACCACTGTGCCACCACCCAGAGGTGGCTGTGGTCGAAATGTAATCAGTTTAATAATACTGTATCACTATGTGTTTTATCGAATAAAATTATTTTATTGTGTCTAACGGATGATTATTTAGAATAAAAAGTTATCCACTCATTCTGCTGTCTATGTCCAATTGGTAGTATTCAAGTGATCAGTCAGACAGTTTACTCAGTCGAATTACTAAGGGCTCACCTACGTGGTTCCAAGCCAGTCACTTAGTGGGAAATCAAAAGTCAAGTATTATCCGATTACTTCAGTGCTTGGTATAGTTTTCCATCAGCAACCATCAGTGGAGTTGTGGTGAGAGGTAGCTAGCCAAAATTGTAAACAACAATATACGTCAATTATAAGTTTCCAGACTGTAGCCGTTACGAACTTCCTGGAATAATTTGAGCGCCGAGTCGGATTGATTCATTATAAATCAATGTTCACGTGCAGAATCGGAGACAGGAGAAAAAACAATAACAAAGATTAACCTTGAAGAAACCAACAACCAATCACATGACACGTAACATGTGCAAATACAATTCGCAGATATATGGCTTCACTTTCTGAAGAACGGTCACAAGCAGTACAGCAGGACCTTCAGAAAGAAAATAACCGATCAGAAGAGGTTGTATGTCGGCTAACAATAACGATAATAATAATAATAATGTACATAAAAATCGATGAATATCTACTGATTTTGTCAATAAACTATCTGTCGCCTGGCCCTTGTCTCATGTCGTTGGAGAGTTATTAAGTTAATAGGTATCAGTACAGTTCAGGTTTAACGATCAAATAATTAGTTTTAGCCACATTAGCATACAGCATCACAGTAATATAATAATCCAGGCATCTGCAAACCTATAGAGTCATGGATGAAGTGTAAATGAAATATCATCAAGCCAGGGTGAACGACGAAATGATTAATGTCTTTGACAAACAGAAACAACTCCTAAAATCAATAACTATTTATTTTCAAGTATTGGTTTTGTAGGGATTTTTGTTTGATTGCATGGAGGATTTCATCATGAGCTGACATCAGTTAGAGAGCCACTGGAAAACCTGAGAGTACTGGACAGCTGTTTCGTCCTAGTTTGGCACTCTTCAGCAGTACGCACCCACTATTTATTTTTCACTATGTGTGTGCACAATTGGTTCATTGATGGGATGCACACCAACGACGCATGCAGTTCAGATACAATCCCCAGCCGATACACTTCTAAGCCTCGCCTAGTTTATCAGCCAACAGTAAACCAGTAAAAGAGGGAGGTTTAGGTGTTGGGCTAGCAACCTTGTTCAGTGAAGACAACACCATGTCTCATAAGACCTCAAAAAATCTTACAGCTCTATACTCCACTCAGAACGTAACGCATTTTAAGACGACTCGTTGTATTATAAATTAACTTAGGATTAAATCACAAAAGTTTTCAAGTGACCAAGTTAATTAAGAATAATTAAAACAAACTGGGTAACTGTTATGCGGTTAAAAGCGCGTGCACATAAAAAAAAACACAAAAACAATGTTAGTATAGATTTCCTCACTAACTAATACCAGTTGAATAGCCACTGAAAAAAAAACCACGGCGCACTGAACTGTTGCTTCTTGCAGTTCTGGGATGGCATGGCAGTGCATACTCCTGACTGCAGTAGGTATCGAACCCTTGGTTTTAAATTTACTAGTTCTAGATAGTAGTGAAGTGTCCTCAGACCGAGTGAATCAGCATCCCAGTAAACCTCAGTTTCTGATGTCGATTCGTGACGGAATTTGCACGCGAATTAATCAAATCTTTACATACCCAGCATCTGAGTACAAATAACTTCATGTGAAAATTCTGTCTAGGTAAAAAATAAATGTTTATTGATTTCCTATGAAAAGGAATTCTGAAGTGGTGCTTGAAAAGTATGAGTACAAAATGAATTTCAGAATTTTTCAAATAAAGAAAAACAATAGCCATAAACATAACAGCATTAATTGAATAAGGTAATATTAGACAATAAACAAATTTATGGAATAATGAATAGGTAATTAGTTATGCTGAAACTGTCTGCAGAATGGATTAAAAGATCAAAAAGAGATTTTCGCTGACATCATCTGGGATAATCTTGGATTGACAGGCAGGCATTCATGTAACCAGTGGTGGCTGAATATGAGCCATGACAGAACTCA